AATTCGAGTTAACTGTAATTGAATTAGAGTTAACTGTAATGCATTACACTTAACTGTAATGTATTACAGTTAAGTCGAATATATTACAGTTAACTGTAATTGAATTACAGTTAACTGTAATGCATTCGACTTAACTGCAATTCAGAGGTAAATGATAAAACGGCTTGCCATATGTCCGTATGCTAAGTCGTTCAGGACAGTCTGTCCCAGCTACGCGACAGTCTACCGCGGTCAGCAAGTCTCCCACTTTCAAGACCCCAGTGACATCACTTGCCTTAACTCTAGGGTCAGCAGATAGCAGCCTGGAGGACATAGAGTAGGCATTTTTAATATCTGTGAGATTCCTGTTTTGTGCTGTTGTAAATGAGATTATGCATTTACAACAGCACAAAACAGGAGTCTGTTTTGTGCTGTTGTAAATGAGATTATGCATTTGAGGTGTTTTTTATTTTCTGATTAACCTGTTAAGTCTGAGTGACTTGTAAATTGTTACTTTTTTCATACGTATAAATAAAAATTGTTGAATGCTAATTTGTTGTTGCTAAACTTGATAATAAGAAAAAAAATACCGCCCCCCCCCCCACCACCCTTCCAAAAAAAAAAAAGCGAACAAGCTGAAATCAATATAGTGGGTGTTGGGAGAAAAGAGAGAAAAAAGTTGGAATTTTTTATCCTTTTCTTTTATTATCTTCCATTCATCTTTTGCCCAATAATTTTTAACATCTTAAAGTGTAACATAATAAATACTTTCATTCCTTGTTACATAATAACACATTATAAACATTCATATGTGCATGTGTTGCTGGATTTTCATAGTCCATATCTTTGGTCGTGACATAATATGAATGAGGCTCAGAGGGTTGACCATTCTTTCTTGCCAAGGAACAGAGCCAGCAGGGGACAAATAATATGACAAATAATCACGCTGCTGCTTTGCCTCTTTCTTGGAATTGTGGCCGGATAGATGCATTAAGACCGCCATGTCACAATCTTCCCTCCATGCCCCAGGAATCAGAGCATGTGTTGCTGGATCTTCATGGTCCGCATCTGTCGTCGCGAGTGGATATCTGGTCAGTATGAGGTTATGTAAAACACAGGCGCACATGGCAATCAGGTTGATCGTCTCGGGGTGTTGTTGCATCGTAGTCAAGAAACACCAGAACCTTAAATAAGATTATGAAAATATGTAACATCTGTAATAAATAGTAATTTAAAAAAAACATCTTGCTCAGAAGAAGGAATGAAAATGCACCAGAGGTCATCAAATTCAAATCGATATTTATAACGAACATGCCTAAATCAAATCAAAAACATTGTTTATTCGACTTAGATAAAATTTGACTTACAGATTGTTAAATTATTGGAAAACACAATTTGGCATGTAAAATTTAAACGACTTAGAAATTATTCGACTTAGGCAAGGTCGACTTAGGTAAGTTTAACTGTGTATTAAATTTACCTGTGAGACAATATACCAAATGCATTCTCTATGACACGACGGGCACGAGACAACCTGTAGCTGTATATAATTTCTCGTTGGACCTGTGATCTATGAGAGAATGGTTTCATCAGCCAATTTCTGAGTGCGAATGCGTCATCGCCTACAAAGTGATACAGCGCTAGTAACAGCACTGCCATGTAGAGTATAGAGTGTCGGCTTGACCTCCAGGATCGGCCCATCCTCTTCACTGAGGGAAATATTAAAAGAAAAACAGAATCGACATAATACTAATTTCCATAATAATGATACTTGTCAAAAGTCTGCGTTCTGTCGTTTTAAACAATAAGCTACTGTTATAGATTCCTGAAGATGAACTACCAGTATCTGTTATATATTGTTATACATTACTCATTTTATACATTACCTAATTAATTTACAAATAAACAAGTTAAAAGTTTGAGTGATATAAAGACCAGGTTATCTATATAAGTTGTACAGTGCATTGAACATTCCTTCACTTGAATCTGTTTATAACAAAATGAATAACAACTATCTGTGTTTGCTTTAAGATTTAATCAGGTTTTTTTTTTCTGATTGTGACCATTTCTTTATATGCAAATTACTAAATAGGCATTTGCCAACATTTTTTTTCATATTTAAAAAAAAATACATAGTCTAGAATTTGTTTTTTCTGTAAATTAACATATATTTTAGATTATATTCAGTATATAATTATTTATTTCAAATGTGTTAAGGTCAAATATTATATTGAATTAATGAACTTGAGCATTTCCAACACCAGTAGTTTAGCAAGATGATGTTTTATATTCGTATGAACCATTGTTTGAGCATCGCTTCTTGCTTCATTGCAATTACTTTCAGGATCGGCCAATCCTCCAACTGAGGAAAATATAAAAATATAAACAGATTCCACATATTACTAATTTACATAATAATGATACTTATCTCGATGATGAAGAGTTTGCCTTCCTCGTTTTAAACACAAACTATACATTATTATATTATATATTACTTAATTAATTTAAAAGTAAACATGTTAGAAGTTTGAGTAATATAAACATCAGGTTATCTATACCATGTGTACAATCCACTGATCCCCCTTTCACTGGAATCTGTTTACAACAAAATGAATAACAACTGTCTGTGTTTGCTTTTAGAATTTATAGGCTTTTGTTACTGATTGTGTCCATTTATTCATATGCAAATTACTAAATTAGCGTATGCCAAAATTTCGTTAATGTTTTACAAAAATACATTGTCTACAATTGAGGTTTTTTTCTGTACATTAACATATATTTTAAGTTATATATAATATATAAATATTTATTTAAAATGTGTTAGAGTCAAATATTATATTGAATTAATAAACTTGAGCATTTCCAACACCGGTAGTTTAGCAAACTGTTATTTTATATTAGTATCATTGGAAGCATTTGTAAGGCATCGCTTCTCGGCCTTTTGGCTAAGATCATGTGTAGTATCTGTTCTTTTCAGCTTAATATCTGAAACGCTGCTCATTGAGTAGCTTCTATATTAAACTGATTTTTGAAATTAGGCCATGGAGTAGGAGCTTGCTCCGTCCTGGCCACGGGTTGGCCTGGTATTGCAGTACCTCCAGGATTGGCCCATCCTCTTCACTGAGGGAAATATTAAAAGAAAAACAGAATCGACATAATACTAATTTCCATAATAATGATACTTGTCAAAAGTCTGCGTTCTGTCGTTTTAAACATTAAGCTACTGTTATAGATTCCTGAAGATGAAGTACCAGTATCTGTTATATACTGTTATACATTACTCATTTCATATTTTACTCATTAACAAGTTAAAAGTTTGAGTGATATAAAGACCATATTATCTATATCAGTTG